ACATAGTGTAACCCATGGATAGTGTCCATGTTCTTCCAAGGTCGAGACATAGTGTAACCCATGGATGGTGTCCATGTTCTTCCAAGGTCGAGACAAAGTGTAACCCATGGATGGTGTCCATGTTCTTCCAAGGTCGAGACAAAGTGTAACCCAGTGATGGTGTCCATGTTCTTCCAGGGTCGAGACAAAGTGTAACCCATGGATGGTGTCCATGTTCTTCCAAGGTCGAGACATAGTGTAACCCATGGATGGTGTCAATGTTCTTCCAGGGTCGAGACAAAGTGTAACCCATGGATGGTGTCAATGTTCTTCCAGGGTCGAGACATAGTGTAACCCATGGATGGTGTCCATGTTCTTCCAAGGTCGAGACATAGTGTAACCCAGTGATGGTGTCCATGTTCTTCCAGGGTCGAGACATAGTGTTAACCCATGGATGGTGTCCATGTTCTTCCAGGGTCGAGACATAGTGTAACCCATGGATGGTGTCCATGTTCTTCCAGGGTCGAGACATAGTGTAACCCAGTGATGGTGTCCATGTTCTTCCAGGGTCGAGACATAGTGTAACCCAGTGATGGTGTCCATGTTCTTCCAAGGTCGAGACATTGTGTAACCCAGTGATGGTGTCCATGTTCTTACAAGGTCGAGACATAGTGTAACCCATGGATGGTGTCCATGTTCTTACAAGGTCGAGACATTGTGTAACCCATGGATGGTGTCCATGTTTCTCCAAGGTCGAGACATAGTGTTAACCCATGGATGGTGTCCATGTTCTTCCAGGGTCGAGACATTTTGTAACCCATGGATGGTGTCCATGTTCTTCCAGGGTCGAGACATAGTGTAACCCATGGATTTTGTCCATGTTCTTACAAGGTCGAGACATTGTGTAACCCATGGATGGTGTCCATGTTCTTACAAGGTCGAGACATTGTGTAACCCATGGATGGTGTCCATGTTCTTACAAGGTCGAGACATTGTGTAACCCATGGATGGTGTCCATGTTCTTCCAAGGTCAAGACAAAGTGTAACCCATGGATGGTGTCCATGTTCTTCCAGGGTCGAGACATAGTGTTAACCCATGGATGGTGTCCATGTTCTTCCAGGGGGGTCGAGACATAGTGTAACCCAGTGATGGTGTCCATGTTCTTCCATGCTCGAGACAAAGTGTAACCCAGTGATGGTGTCCATGTTCTTCCAGCGTCGAGACATAGTGTAACCCATGGATGGTGTCCATGTTCTTCCAAGGTCGAGACATAGTGTAACCCATGGATGGTGTCCATGTTCTTCCAGGGTCGAGACATAGTGTAACCCATGGATGGTGTCAATGTTCTTCCAGGGTCGAGACATAGTGTAACCCATGGATAGTGTCCATGTTCTTCCAAGGTCGAGACAAAGTGTAACCCATGGATGGTGTCCATGTTCTTCCAAGGTCGAGACAAAGTGTAACCCAGTGATGGTGTCCATGTTCTTCCAGGGTCGAGACAAAGTGTAACCCATGGATGGTGTCCATGTTCTTCCAAGGTCGAGACATAGTGTAACCCATGGATGGTGTCCATGTTCTTCCAGGGTCGAGACAAAGTGTAACCCATGGATGGTGTCAATGTTCTTCCAGGGTCGAGACATAGTGTAACCCATGGATGGTGTCCATGTTCTTCCAAGGTCGAGACATAGTGTAACCCAGTGATGGTGTCCATGTTCTTCCAGGGTCGAGACATAGTGTTAACCCATGGATGGTGTCCATGTTCTTCCAGGATCGAGACATAGTGTAACCCATGGATGGTGTCCATGTTCTTCCAGGGTCGAGACATAGTGTAACCCATGGATAGTGTCCATGTTCTTCCAAGGTCGAGACAAAGTGTAACCCATGGATGGTGTCCATGTTCTTCCAAGGTCGAGACAAAGTGTAACCCAGTGATGGTGTCCATGTTCTTCCAGGGTCGAGACAAAGTGTAACCCATGGATGGTGTCCATGTTCTTCCAAGGTCGAGACATAGTGTAACCCATGGATGGTGTCCATGTTCTTCCAGGGTCGAGACAAAGTGTAACCCATGGATGGTGTCAATGTTCTTCCAGGGTCGAGACATAGTGTAACCCATGGATGGTGTCCATGTTCTTCCAAGGTCGAGACATAGTGTAACCCAGTGATGGTGTCCATGTTCTTCCAGGGTCGAGACATAGTGTTAACCCATGGATGGTGTCCATGTTCTTCCAGGATCGAGACATAGTGTAACCCATGGATGGTGTCCATGTTCTTCCAGGGTCGAGACATAGTGTAACCCATGGATGGTGTCCATGTTCTTCCAGGGTCGAGACATAGTGTAACCCAGTGATGGTGTCCATGTTCTTCCAAGGTCGAGACATTGTGTAACCCAGTGATGGTGTCCATGTTCTTACAAGGTCGAGACATAGTGTAACCCATGGATGGTGTCCATGTTCTTACAAGGTCGAGACATTGTGTAACCCAGTGATGGTGTCCATGTTTCTCCAAGGTCGAGACATAGTGTTAACCCATGGATGGTGTCCATGTTCTTCCAGGGTCGAGACATTTTGTAACCCATGGATGGTGTCCATGTTCTTCCAGGGTCGAGACATAGTGTAACCCATGGATTTTGTCCATGTTCTTACAAGGTCGAGACATTGTGTAACCCATGGATGGTGTCCATGTTCTTACAAGGTCGAGACATTGTGTAACCCATGGATGGTGTCCATGTTCTTACAAGGTCGAGACATTGTGTAACCCATGGATGGTGTCCATGTTCTTCCAAGGTCAAGACAAAGTGTAACCCATGGATGGTGTCCATGTTCTTCCAGGGTCGAGACATAGTGTTAACCCATGGATGGTGTCCATGTTTTTCCAGGGGGGTCGAGACATAGTGTAACCCAGTGATGGTGTCCATGTTCTTCCATGCTCGAGACAAAGTGTAACCCAGTGATGGTGTCCATGTTCTTCCAGCGTCGAGACATAGTGTAACCCATGGATGGTGTCCATGTTCTTCCAAGGTCGAGACAAAGTGTAACCCATGGATGGTGTCCATGTTCTTCCAGGGTCGAGACATTGTCACTGTACTATGATTCACTGAGACAATGTACTGTACACCAGGTGTTAAACTGACACATTGTCTCTGTGTAGTTCGGGTTATAATGAACTGTAACGTGTACAAATCATAAAATTAAAATTGTGAAACCAAGGAACTTTTATTTAAGGGCCACGAATCAGAGGACGAGGAGGATAAGGGCCCTCTTTGGCCCAAAGGAAATGTCAAATGTTCAAGTTCTGGAAAACTTGGAATAATGGTGTGAAATTAATCAGACATGTTGAAATGGTTAACAACTAGTTTTTTCTTTCTTTCGCATCAAGTCTTTTACTTCAGGCATATTCAATCACAGACGAATGAACCAAAAGGTGAACAAGTGCGTTGCCCAAGATGTTTTTTTATGATACCTTATTAATGTTTTAATCTAGTGAGTGAGTGAGTGAGTATGGTTTTACGCCGCTTTTAGCAATATTCCAGCAATATCACGGCGGGGGACACCAGAAATGGGCTTCACACAGTGTACCCATGTCGGGAATCGAACCCGGGTCTTCGGCGTGACGAGCGAACGCTTTAACCACTAGGCTACCCGACCGCCCCGTTTTAATCTAGAGATTCTAAGAAAATCGGCTAGGATCAAAGGCTTGCTTATGTTTAACTTTTAAAAAACATGAAACTTCAAAAATAAGCCTCCGTGACACATTTCTATAGCCTCTAGTTTTATTTGAAGTCCAAAACGTGCATGTGTTGAAAAGAACAAAGTCTGTTTCTCATTTCTACTTTTTCCAACAATTTCATTAAGTGCTGCTAATTTCATTAATTATGCGTATCATCCAGGGTCTTCACCATGTCCTTTGTTAGGGCATCAACTGACCGTGCCTAGCCTCCCTTATGTAAGCTCAACACTGTGACAAGTCTTGGAACGATACATTGTTAATACCAACATACAGCAGAAACATCTAAAAATATTCATGGAACCATCTATCGGCAGTGATGTGTACGTTGGTTTAAAACCTAACGTTAATGAGAGTGAGTGGGTTGGGTTTAACGCAGCTTTCAACAGTATTCCAGTTATATCGCGGCTTCGTTAACTAGAACATCGAGGCCTATACGCAGTAGGCATGTGATACAGCATCCTTAATTTTGATGAACGTTGATGCACCATATCCTGAGATTAAGAGACTGTTTCTTTTTTCCTGCTCAACTGCGTAACTTTACTAAGCAATATGTTTCGAAATGTTTCCATGGCAACATGTATCACGTGACTTTGTGTGGCATGATTTGTTAGTGAATTCTAGTCGTTTCCAAGGATACGAGTATTTAAAACTCTAAGGAGAGACATCCAGTTAACTATTTCACTCAAATGATTTTAATACGATCTATAACAATATGATAAAAAAAATGATCATTACAATATTTTTTCCTCGAAGTTTTCTCATGGTGCTGGTGTGAATGACAGTAGGGCCTACTTACTCATCATCTGTCATTCCATATTCGTATAACAAAATAGCATTGTCCATTATATGTAACACATACTTTTGCTGTTTCCATGGACACGAATGTCACGTGACTATGTGAGACATGGCGGGGTCTTTGTCATTTCTCACAATTTACAATTAATAACTCAGTATATATATATGAATCTACGAATATCTGTTAGTGCCATTGAAATAAAGGAATTCCTGTGACATATTTTAAAGGTCCCTATCAATCTCATAAAAAAAATCATATCTTAGTTCTCGCTATCGCTAAACAAAGATCTGAGAACACCCCATTACGGGTCACGTCAGAACGACCTTTCATCCGACCAATCAAAGAGTAGCTTACCAGATCATGAAAGTGACAGTCGGAATGTGTTTTCTAATCATGCAACCTCGAAAACGTTAACACGGGGTATTCCGAAAGACAGTTACGGCCCATACGACTGATTCCGTCAAAATTATCGTCTATCTCTCGCTTCCGTGGGATAAACATTTGAACGGAGGAGGCTTTGCACAGTACGTGGGAAGCACTGCCATACAATCTCAACCATATATTAGATACTCCGGAATGTTCGTTTGTTCAGTTTTCAAAATTTTAATCGGGAACTGTGTCAATAAATTGTTCAAGCGTAGTCTCAAATGGAATTCGACAGGTTGAAACGAGTGCCGTAAATCTCGAGAAAGCTGCTTCTTAATTGGCTGATGTCGACCTTTTGTTAGTCGTTTCAGTGGTCGGTCAAAGTCCGCGAAAGGTCGTTCTGACGTGACCCGTAATGGGATGTCCCCAGATCTTTCTTTAGCGGCAGCGAGAACATAGATCTGATTTCAATGAGATTGGTTCCCTACTTACAATTTAGGACACCAAGTTTAAATTTCAACATACAAAGTTGAATTGGCAAGTTCATATGTACAATTGTAAGGTTAAAAGGTTAAAAAAAGAGGAAAATTGAAAAGACTTTGCTCAATCTTTAAGATCCTATGGCGAATAATAAGAATAATTTGTAGAATAATTTTCGTACCCCTTAAAACCCCCCAAATGTTTACTATTTAGTCATGCAATATTCTGTTCTAAAGGATATATACTGTGCAAGGGTCTTAACTGAAACAATAATATTTCCAAGTTTCCATTTTTCTCAGGACTTATATTGTCTTTATTGTGTCTACATACAAGCAATTACACAATTATTTAGGAAGTAAACCACTACTTGCTACATAATTATCTCTCCATTACTTTAAAACCGTACACATCAACTCACAATATCTAAAAAAACCTCCTTCAGTACATGGTTTGGGTGGACAAGGTAAAAGAGGGGCAGTTGTCCCAAGGGATCTGTAACATGTCGGAATGTGAACACAAGCGACAAAACCCTTTCAATGTGGATAAGATAGCTGCCAAAAGCAGAGTCGATTGTGCGATTGTACGAAATAAGCACACCCTAGTTATGAATAGGTTCGTATCAATGAGAATGAGGCATTGTTCTTTAATAATTATGCATGTTTTATATTCATATCAATACCTATTGTATGTTGAGGCTAAGGTGTCGCATAGATGGATTTAAGAGGAGTCCCTGAAATGGATGTCCATCGTTCAGTTTGGCAATAATTTTGTAATTGGTCCAAAAAAGTAAGAAATAATTAAACCACCCATGTCTGACAATTTCATGCCAATGTCTCACAATTTTCCGTAAATGTTTGGTCAAAAAGGACACTTATCCTATTTCGTCCTCTCCAATACAGCATCTACTACTCACAACGTATATTGTTTGTTTATTTTAACACAACGGTACTGATTAAGCACATAGTACACAGAATCCATTTTATCATTCACGATCCATGAACGTTGTACTTGCTCCAAACATCAGCCTCCGAATATGGCCGAGCTCGGGCGGCTTGACGCCAACAATCTCCGAAGGTCGAAAATGTCTATCTGTTGAACTGACATTGAACAAGGTCGACAGTGACAGGTCAAGGCCATCTTGACTGGTATCCGAAGTACGTTTCCGTCTGAACACGGAAGTAGAGCAGGTTTACGGATGGGGGCGACCTCCGTCTGACTGCAACAGCTGGAAATTAAATTTAATATGGTTATATTTCCCTTTTAAAAAATAGTTATGAGTATATCACAATGGTTGAACGATCGATAGTATCACTGTCTGATATTTGCTGATGTATATTTAGATTTTGCAGTTGATTAGTGTGAAGCGACATGACGTCAGCAAATGTTCATGACGTCATACAATTTAGAATTGCCTTTCACTTTGTGTGAGTTCATTGGAGTATGAACCTTCATAGAGTGAGCGCCAAACTGTATGAACCTCGGAGCTTGCTTCCTCCTCATTACTCATACCTCTTGTGATCCTCCTTGAAACGTTTTGATTATCAAGGCAGTGATGATAATGTAAACTGAATACGATCAAAGAACATTTACTTGCACTCTAACACCACATTTTCGACACGGACAGGTCTGTGTATTCGACTCAAGCACAAGTAACTTATCATTGAATGACCATCAAGAAAGTAGTCTTGCATAAATCTGAACTTAGGTAATCACCATGGAGTAGCCAATCACAGATCTGGAATTCAATCTCAGTTGTCTCAAATTGGTTTCTCACCACAGGTAGGTATTGTGAAGGATAGTAGATAGTAGATTAATTTTGTTCCGCTTATAGTTTTACTTTCCGCATACCATTCCCAATTTTCACAGGTTTAAGTTTTGGTAGAAACAAGATGGCAGCCTCCACAACATTCTGTTACCATGTCCTTCCTTTCTGTGTTTAAGAAAGAACTCAGTCAACTCACCTGCAATACCTCTGTATGTTCGTAGCGTTGCGCTCATAATCTATTTTGCTGTAGGATTCGCACCCTCCCTTGCAGCCCAGTGTGTAGACAGTGGCCGACTGGCACCGACTGGCGTACATTATCGGGGGGTGAATTGTCATTTTGATCCATCTCAAGCCACACCGGTTTCTGTTGGGGTCCGGACTGGACCGGATGTTGAAGACGAAACCGGAAGTAGGTAATATGTACACCGTTAGCAGCAGGACGATCACTGCAATATAAAGATCACATTATGTGACAGACGCTTGTATTCTTTTGCATGAAATGAGTAAGTGAGTGCATCAGAGACTAGCTGAGTGCGTGAGTGAATGAGTGAGTGATGGAGGGGAGGTGCGTGGCTCCGTTCAAATGTTTATCCCACGGAAGCGAGAGATAGACGATAATTTTGACGGAATCAGTCGTATATTATAAAAATAATGGGTAATTTTCTCGACAGGATAAGGCCAACAGATAAGAATGGTATCAGTTGGGGTCATATACCGATAACGAGGCAAATGTGAAAGGGCGGGTAGGTACTACTTTCAGCGTCTAAACACAAACATGGCGTCGCCCTTGTCAAGAAGCGATCGTGTCAAAAATAACAACCTGCAATCTGGAGAAATTACTCCACACATGTGCTTGTAGACCTCTGCGACCTCGGGTCTTTATCCCTTTTTAAAACAGTTGGATTTGGCCGAAATATGTCCGAATTGTTACCTTGTTACATTTCGTGACGGTATGACAGGCCAACAGACACGACGTCTCATGGACTGGAGTACATTCCCTTTGATGAAGTAATTGAACTCTAAATCCATTTTTTATTCCTAAATGAGGGTATTAACCGTCCCAAAGCACAATCGCTTGATAACCTCTTAATGTCTGGAATTAAAGATAAAAATAACAATCCACTGAATGGTATATCTTTAATTACTAAACAATGAAATAATTTAAAACCACCTTATTTACGCATTCAAAGAAACAACTATTGGTTACACCTACTTGGGTTGTCAGTCCAGGTTTGAGGAGGTCATTATTGGACGATGTCGTATTGGCTATTCCCGATATATTCATGAATATTTGTTGAAAGGTGAGGATCATCCATTCTGAATCCTTCATGATCAAAGTATCACGTGCAAGCAAGTCCAACTTGACTGTATTGATTTTAACACCACGAGGGATGACTATTTCGGTGTGAAAACAGTCAAGGACCTTTTTAAACATGTTAATGTAAGGGTAACGCTATTTTTCAGGGCATTATCATTTGCAAAAGCCTAAGGTCTTCCATTAACTGCCCGACGAAGGAGGGCAGTTGAAAAGACCGAGGGCTTCTGCAAATGATAATGCCCTGAAAAATAGCGTTACCGTTATTATTGCTAAAATGTATGGAATTTTGTTATCAAATAAAAAGAAACAACAATATCAGTTTTGAAACATTTACTGCAATCCACTCTCCTACCCAGAGTTCCATGCGGCCGGCAGCCAGCCAGCATAGTACCTCTGCCACAGGCCAGCGCCATGTGACGATTCGTCACATCTTTCACAGTCCATATAAGATATTGCATATGCTTTTTATCCGTTTCATGTTTGACAAGTCTACACATTTTCATGAACAAATGTCAAAGAATGGTTACCGTTCATTAAGAAAGTATGCTAATACGTGAAAATCTACTTGTTTTTGCGTAGTTATCCTTTGTTTACATTGGTTGTACGGCTCCACGTGCTGTCATCGAAGCCCAACGGAGAGCTAGCGATAGGGTCACTTTGATGTATAAATATATATTTTCATGCAACTCACTGTCGCAGTTGTAGTAGCATATCTATATAATTATGCAAAACAATATGTAAAGCGCCCAAACTGCTTGCATTAGTCCGATTTATACTGATTTCTGAAAAAGCGCGTTTGTTTACAAACAAGAGAAAAGTCCGGTCACGTGATATGTAAATTAGCCTGTGGCAGTGGCGTTATGCTGAGTCACCACTGCGCCGGAGTGTGACTGCAATCAACATGAATGTCACTGACTCACTTTACAAATATGGAAACGTCATAGAACAAACCAGATGACGTCACTATCGAACGTGACGTCACCAATCCCCATCCTATGACGTTACCTAACAACCGGCGTGATAATAGCCCGTCGTCAAGTAATATGAGGTCTTTTTCAAGGTACAGTGGCCCGCTCATTTCTGATAACATGCGGGCGGCTTTATGATAATTCTATCCAATTTAGCTATAATTTAAGGGTAACGCAATTTTTCAGGGCATTATCATTTGCAGAAGATTGTCATCAGGGAAAATAATATGGCTTCCAGTAACTATTCCATACACATGTTATAAATGCCAACGTTAAATATACTGAACATCGTATGTTTGACGACGTTGTTTTTGAGAGGGAAGTGTCTAGTGACTTGTTCCAAATAGATGTAGCTGGGCAACGCAGATAAACGCGATGGCCGAACGATCGCACCCAGAACCAGGAGAGATATAGAGAATCCCACCCGAGTGTCTTTTGATATCAAATATATCAACACGAGTTGATAAAAGTGGAAAAATTCCGAGGCTTGCCGAGGATTTTTGCCACTTTTATCAACGAGTGTTGATATATTTGATATCAAAAGACACGAGGGTGAGATTTTATTTATCATCCAACATCATTCTTCCAACTTTTTCAATTTGTAGACAGTAATTAGCAGGGTCTTCAGTGTAAAAAGTACTGCTATCAGCTTCAGTAGCAGAGCCATTAGTGATGTCATTTGATTGTGACGTCATGGTAACCAGTGACTTCACAATGGTCTGCAAAGCATTGTGATGTAATTTCATTTCAGCGATATCTACAGTGTAGATATCGCTTGATCTAATCCAAGCGATATCTCCTGCGGGAGCCAGTTTTGGATGATAAATGACAATCGGTATTGGGAGAAAGGGTACAGGTAATCGACGTGGGGGATGTGAGAATATGCGGGAAATACCCATCTGTAAAATGGACTTGTCCGACATTGCGAAGGTCGGATTCGATTGAGAGAGTCATCATTATTTAACAAGGGGGTTAATATTTCTAAGAGGTTGGCCATAATGTTGATATCGAATATGAGAAATTAAAGAATCGTGGTCGTTGTTAACGTGCAATAAAACACTGCAGGGAGAATACACCACTCGGGGCTGTGCCCCTTACGTTTTATTCCCCCTGTACCATAAACAACTCCCACTCTTCGTTTAATCCTTAAATATGATTAAACTGTGCAAGACAACTGACTTGACCTGTAACTTAAAGGGGAAGTGTACACGCAAAAATCGCTTTCTTTCTTTTTCTAAACAAAACGCAATTTTAGAATTAGTTAGTATCTGTGTTTGAAAATATACACTCATTTTTTTCACAGTGAAAGTATGAAGCTCACAATAGTGTGAAAATGATATGCCGTTATGAGGCCTTCGTTTTTCGAGCTAAACAGGCCTGAGTTATCCCCCTTAGATTATGACGTAATTGGTGCCAATTCAACTGGGTCCCTGTCTATTCTGAACGCAAAAGATATCAAGTACCAGTTTTCGGTAAAAAAAACAACATGGCCTACGACACACTCCGGCGCAGTGGTGACTCAGCATAACACTATGCTGGCTGGCATCTGAGACGCTAGAATCACACACCTGTACCTACACCACGTGAAGCGGCTCTAACAAAGCATGATGACGTCATAATGTTTATCAATTGGCACCAATGACGTCATATTGCAAGGGGCATAAGCCATGGTGTTTTTGTAATGGAAATAGAACACTTGGTAAATGTGAAAAATATAAATCGTTTTAATGCAAAACATATGTTAATTAATTGTGATATTTTTATATTTTTGTCTATGACACTTCTAGGTTAACACTTTTATTGTGGAAAAAGTACAAGAAAATTAGGTTCATTTCCGTGTGAACTTGCCCTTTAAGTGTTGTACACTACAATAGCTTGTATGAACCCATGCAAACTGAAACGGGAAATGATTAAAAACAACAACTGCAACAAAAACAACAACAACAACAACAACAAAAAGAACCTGATTAAACCACGGAGCCAAAATAAATGTCCGTGTGTTGTAATTGTGGCTGTTGTAACATAACTAATAGTTAAATGCCTTTTTTTGAAGGAACTGCTTATTATAAATTGTTCTTAAGACAGTAGTATCAGACTAGCTTCTATATAAGGGGCCATCTCATCATCCAAAGCGGATATAGTCTGGTGAGACGGAAGTGGTTGTCCATTCTACTCCCGTGCTTGGCTTTAAGACAACAACAGGCGTACATTACCCACGTTTTGCAGACACATTTTATGCTATAAATATATTTATATATATGTGTTATAACGTTACTTCAAAAGCGCTCATATTTAACACATAAAACCCTCCCGTCTTTCTTCGCAAACATGACTTCACAGCAGATGAAACCGGAAGGCTTGGATCGGGCACGCATAACATTACCAGACATTATCTATTAAAACAAGCAGATCGTCAAGAGACAAGGGAGGTAAGTGACGTAGTCAAGGACACTGCTCTGTGGTTAAAGACAGCGACAGAGTTGCCAGTAACCTTTCCAAGATCGGCTGGTCGTGGAGTCGAGAAAGGGTGCAGGTGATCGACGTGGGGGAAGTGAGAATATGCGGGAAATACCCATCTGTAAAATGGACTTGTCCGACATTGCGAAGGTCGGATTCGATTGAGAGAGTCATCATTATTTAAATAGGGGGTTAATATTTCTAAGAGGCTGGCCATAATGTTTATATCGAATATGAGAAATTAAAGAATCGTGGTCGTTGTTAACGTGCAATAAAACACTGCAGGGAGAATACACCACTCGGGGCTGTGCCCCTTATGTTTTATTCTCCCTGTACCATAAACAACTCCCACTCTTCGTTTAATCCTTAAATATGATTGAACTGTGCAAGACAACTGACTTGACCTGTAACTTAAGTGTTGTACACTACAATAGCTTGTATGAACCAATGCCAACTGAAACGGGAAATGATTAAAAACAACAACAACAACAACAACAACAACAACAACAACAACAACAAAAAGAACCTGATTAAACCACGGAGTCAAAATAAATGTCCGTGTGTTGTAATTGTGGCTGTTGTAACATAACTAATACTTAAATGCCTTTTTTTGAAAAATTTGACGTGTTATTAACTTATGCTTGTAAGCATCAAATCTGTGCTCGTTAGTTTCTCCACAATAAACGTCTGCGATCTGAGTCTC